TATTATTTTTATTTGCTTTGGCAACACTGATTGTACCTATCGGTCATGCTAATAAAGCACCTTGAATTGAATTGAATTGAAAAGAAACCACTGAGTCAACATTCTCCCCTGGAGGAGTGCAGCAGCAGTTAGTGTTGCTGGAATACCTCCAGAAACTTGTATAGTATCTTAGATAAGATAAGATCACTTTATTGGCCCTATACAATTTCTTGCATTAGGATTTTGTCTTTTTGCATACCCCAGCTTGCTCTCCATGAGACTTGCAGGCACACAGACGGGGAGAGAGGGTGTTCACACAGACAAGTTAGGACCCATTTTGTGGCCGTGGTTTGTTTGGGCTCTTCAGGAAATGTACTGCTGTGTGTTTCAGATCGACAAACTTGCTGTACTGTTGCAAATCACACAGTTTATAGTGATGTACTGGAGGGAAATGTGTGTCTGCCTACAGGTTTAGGAAAGTGTAGCTCCGAAAGTGTTGCTGGTCAGTTTTTTTAACATTGTAGTTTCTGGATAGCATTCCGTGTCCCTGTTTCACATGATCACACGTTCCTGTTTCTTGTTCCCCTCACATCTGTCTCGCTTTCTCTTGATCTTAATCCTAACGATGTTGGTGGTCGGAGCTGTAGGAGTGCTGCTCCAGGCAGGGCTCCCTCTTGGAAAGAGCAGTTAGCAGAGCCAGTCAACCTATCAGCTTGTCTTCGGGATGTGGAAGGACATTGCAGCACTCGGGGAAAACCCATGCAAACACAGGAGGACACATGCAAGCTCCACGCAGAAGGCTCTGCAGGCAGGAGACGGACCGGGACCCGAGATGTGTGAGGTGGCAGCAGTGACGGCGGATGTGTGCCTAGCCCCAGCTGTTTGAAGACTCATTGTGCTTTCTCTGAAGGCCGTGAACAGAGGCCGCTCTGATACAGCTATGCAAATCCGTTCCGCGCGAGCGACCTGACTGAGCGCGGTGCCCTGCGCTCTGGCCCTGGCCTGCCGCGGGGGCCTGGCCGAGGTGCCGTGTGCCTGCCTCGCGCCTGACGGGACCAGCCTGCCAGCCCGCTCGCCCTCCTCCAGCAGCTCTGCTTCTTCCCAGCCCCGGGGCCGTGTGTCCAGCTGGGGGTGCTGCTTTCAGTGCGTCTGTCCTCTCTGCGCCTCTCCTGTCCTGGGACTCTGCGGGCAGAGGCTTTTAGCTCACTGTGAGAAGAACATCTGGATTCCTGGAGCACTGTGAGGCTCCAGCGGCCCTCTCTCAGGTCTTTGGCGTGAGTGGAGAGATCAGACTGTGGGCTATTCTCATACCTGCTGCTCCTGTTCTGTAGATTGGAGAGCACCTGTGAGCTGAACCCGGGAACCCCAGTAACACAGCAGCCTGCTGCCTGCTCTCTTCCCTTGCTTTATCAAGGGCTGGAAGCCAAGGGGCAGAAGGGCTGGGCAAGTCCACTCTGCTCCTAAACCAACAACCGCATGTTCATATTGTTATCCAAGAAAGAGGAGGGTTTTGTTACATAACGAATGCCTTGTGAGTCTGTAGTGGTGACTTGAGGATCACGTGGTTAGGACCAGGGAACACAGAGGATTTAGGATTGAGAATAGGAAGCAGTTCTCTGCACTAATAGTGGTGGGTGTCTGGAGCAAGAGGTGCAGACATGTTATTTAAGCTGATTCCATCAGATCATTAAAGAAACCACAAAGTGAATAAACTACCAGCAACCTGCACTACTAGCAGTGACTATAAATGAGCTGGATGGGCATCACGGGCCCCTCTCACTTGGAACCTTTCTTATGTTTCAAAGTTTCTGCATTTATCAAAGCAGAATCGCCGCAGCTGAAAAAGATTAATTGATGTGCATCAGTGGCTCCAAGGGTGTGTTTTGGCGATATTCAACTGGGCGATTCTGAAATAGCTGCATCTCAGTGCCTGCCCCCTGGGCCAGGAGAGCACTCCGAGAGGCGATTACAGAGACCTGCTGAGAGAGGAGGAACTCCTATTCCTGTGTTCGTGGGACTCAAGCCCTGGTGTTGAAGCACACTGACTCCGTTCAAGAAATGGCTGATACTGGGGACAATTAACTACTAATCACCGACTGGGTTAGACAGGCCGAATGGCCTCCTGTCTTATGTGCTTAGATCGTGCAGCGTTCTCCTTCTCGTGATCTCAGTCTTTTAGGAGCAGTCTGTTCATTATTATTATTTATTTATTTCTGTTGTAATTATTACCCGGCCATCCTGGCCCTCCTCGGGTGGCAGTGGGGCTGTCTGTGTTCCCAGCATGCCGGTGGGGCCAGGCCGGACTGACGCCTGTCTGTTCTCTCCCACAGCAGGCGGAGAAGAAGGCCCAGGCGGCGCCGGCGGGGTCAGCCAGAGATGGAGCAGCTGCTGCAGCACAGGTCAGAGGTCACGCCGGTGGCGGGTCAGGAGGAATCGGCCCTTTCTTCAAAAGAAGCTCAGGAGGCGTTTTATGAAAACAGGCTGTAGGCTCTGGCAGCGCTGGCGGGTCAGGCAGGCTTTAATTCGATGGAATAATTAACTGGGCTGTTTTCCTACTCAACGCCTGTGCATTCAACCTCCCATCCTTATTCAGTGGAGACAGATGCTGGAGACTGACACACATTTCTTTCAAAGTCATTCTGCTGTGTAAAGACTTATATAAAACCCATGAGCGTGCATCTGATGACCGGGATGACAGCAGTTTTCATACCTTTTACAGTTACTAGCAGAATTGCCTTGAGTGTTTAATGATGAATGTTTCTGGAAACTCTCTGGGGAAAGTGTCCTGTGACACTTGCCTACGCTGAAATGCAAGCTGTGGCCAACACTCTGCTCTTATTCCAGTATAATTTACCCCTGTTTTGTGACTGAGCTCTAGCAGTGTAGTTCCGGGACAGGGGGAGTACAGGGGCAGTGTAATTCTGGGACAGGGGCAGTGTAGTTCTGGGACAGGGGCAGTACAGGGCTGTGTAGTTCTGGGACAGGGGCAGTACAGGGCTGTGTAGTTCTGGGACAGGGGCGGTACAGGGCTGTGTAGTTCTGGGACAGGGGCGGTACAGGGCTGTGTAGTTCTGGGACAGGGGCGGTACAGGGCAGTGTAGTTCTGGGACAGGGGCGGTACAGGGGCAGTGTAGTTCTGGGACAGGGGCAGTACAGGGCTGTGTAGTTCTGGGACAGGGGCGGTACAGGGCTGTGAGCTGTGAGTCACACTGTGCTCTCCTGTGCACAGAAAGGCCCCTCCCTGGCAGCACTGCTCCCAGTTTACATTATCACTAAATATTTTTTAAAGGTGAAAACCGACGTGTTACTTTGTGTCCTACAGTGCTATGGAGTTGTGTTTCTGGGAAATATTTTAAAGTTGTTTGATCAGAGAGAGCACTTCAGTATAGGCAAGCTGTTGAGAGGATGTTTTACATGGAGAGATTATCTTTATTGCTCATTTAACACTGAACTAAACTAGTTTGGTAGTTGGAAACCAGGGATATTCAGGTCAGATATTCAGGTATCCTGTTCAGCAGGTACTGTTTTATATTTGATCTAAGATTTATATTCGATTTGACAAACGCCATGTAATGTAATGAGTGTGAAGGTTGTTGTTTAAATAAAACTGAAAAGTAGGTTCTTGGGACATAATCAAGTTCATTTGGTTTGAGAAAAGTGGCAGATATTTCTGTTTTACATATTATTCATTTGACTGACGCTGTTATCCAAGGTGACACGCCTTTTTACCCATCTACATGCCAGAGCATTTTACTGGAGAGACCCAAGTGAGGTACTTTGCTCAGGGGCTTGAGGGCTGTGCCTCACCTGGGTTTTGAACCCGTAACCCTCCAGACCCCTGAGCACTTGCTCCACACTGCTGCCGCCAGAGTGGTCGTGGGTTGGGTGTGGGCAGGCCAGGGGCTCCCCACAGTGAAACCTGCACCTGCTCGTTTCGGGAGCTGGGGTGCTCGGCGCGTGCTGGGGTGCGCCCTGTATGAGGACATTTTTCTGAACCGGCGTCTCTTCATTTCACCTGTGCGGCTTGGCGTGGCCTGCAGGTCTCCTCCCTATCGTGGAATGAAGCACCTGCGCCTGCTGGTGCCGAAGGAGGCCTGGGGCTCTGTCGGTGCTCCTGCCATTGCTCCTCCTTCCTCAGCCCCAGTCCTCTGCTTGACACCCTTGGGACACTCCCAACACCCTGGGGTGCTTCTGGTCAGGACACGCCTTGTGGAAAGAGCCCAGGAAGAAGACTTCCTGCTCGGGTGCAGGGTCTGAACCTGAATACTAGAGTCCATATGCTGTATTTTCTCCCCAGCAGATTAGATCTTCCATGATCACAAGTATAACAGCTGGGCCAAAATATTATCATCTCTACTGAGTCGTATCATCAGGAGCCCTGGACCCCCCTCTCGTTACCCTACTTGGTAACTTAGCTGATTTTGTCTATCTAAAGAGACATTTATACAACAGAACAAGTAGAGGTTTATTCCAGGCTGATAAGAGAAGAAAGAAAACTCAACATTTCGGCTGTGGAGGGTGTGTATACAACAGTACATTTCACTGGAGCAGTTCTCAGGGGTACAACAGCACTGTCTCAGCTGGGATCTGAGCTCACAGCCTCCCAGTTGTAAGTACAGAACCCTGACCACTGAGCCAGCCTGCCTCAGAAGCGAAATATTTAAAAAGGGTTAATGTTGTGGAATAAAAATGAGTCACAGGGAAGTGTACATCTACTAGTCCCACTCTGTTGTTTTAAAATGTACAATTAAATTGACTGCTTCACCTTTGTTTCAAAGTGAGTGCATCACTTTTGCAAACAGTAACGTCTCTCACGTGTCAGGACGAGACGATCCCGGCTCAGCCTGGGCTCAGCTCAGTAACGCAGCAGGAGCGCAGCCCTCTGCCCTCTTGATCTCCCTGCAGCAGACCTGTCTGTCCCTGGCAGAGAGGAGGCCTGCAGACCCTGCTGACTCTAAAATTAATCCCTTTCCAGTGCTGGGGCGGTTCACAGAACACTGAGCACATGGAACAGTACTGCACGTGCGCTGAGAAGGCTCTTGTTTTGGCGATTTCTTGGTAATTCCTGTGGGGGTGTGCTGAGGTGCTTCAGGCTGTTTCTGGGCCAGTGATGAGCC